TAGATTGGCCTTCAGACCACAGGCACAGAATTCAGTCACCAGGCCTATGCTCAAAGCCTTTCCAGCTTGGCAGTATCTGGGGGTCTTTCACTTCAGTGTAATAGCCTTTGAGAACCCTGCTTCACTTCACCACACATGAGTAAGATGAGACACTGAAATTAGTATTTAGTGAAGGACTTGAATTTTTACCGTGGGAATTACAACATTAGGCCCAAATTTTCCTCATTCTGTGAAAGAAAAACAAGCCAATTTTAATACCCTGGAGTCTAAGCATAGTTTCTTATCCTACTTAGCCACTCATCAGGTGACTTTGGAAGCTGGGGAGCTCTGGGTAGGGCTTTCTTTCCAGAGATCACTGAAATTTGTGAAGAAGGAAAACCATCTTTATTACCCCCTTAACTATCTTCCCTGCCTATATTCTCAAGTTAAAAAGAAATAGAAAATTGATCGTTGGAGCGATGTTTTATGCTAAATATAAAGTATTGGAATGATAATTACCTCTGGGGGTAGAGCAATAGTGACTCCCTTGACACAAGCTAGAGCAGGTAGGATTTGTACCAGGGAGATGAAGGGCCAGCTGATTGGTGTATTTAATGGTTGAAACAAAATGAAACAAAAACATTACTCCATGGTCTGGAAAGACCAGTGCTGGAATTGCATGGGACTGTCCCCAGTATAAACTCCAGAAATATGGAGGCAGCAAATGAACAAACAGTAAACCCACCAGTGGTTGCCAAGGTACTTACTTGCCTGGCAAAGCTGCTGGTAATAGAATTGCTTGGAGAGAAGAGGTGTTTTGGATTGGCTGGCTGTTAGGGCATAAATAAATATCTAGGAGAGATGCCAGTGCCTATCCCTCAGGACCAAGACTGTATACCCTGGTCTCAGAAAATAGCTATCCTTTCTCTAGAGAACTCAAGGATCTGGTTTTCCTAACTTCCTTGAGGGACTTTTGGAATCTAAGTGACATTATCATCCACATGCTGCCTTGTGGACCCCAGAGCAGAATAAAGGACTTGATTTTCTAGCAAGCCAGTAAAAGAGCCTACATTAGTCCAGCTTATTCAGGACACCTGTTTAGCACTTGAGGGAAGTACTATATAATAACAACACATTTGTATAGCACTTTTATATTTCTTGCAGCAACTCTGTGAAGGAGATAGTGCAAATATTATCCCCATTTTTCGAGATGGGGAAACAGGCTCATTGGGTCACAACTAGAATTTAAATTCAGGCCTGACTTTTCATTACTTCCTCTCTATGTATAAGAGGAGTTACTAATTGCTGTGGTACAGATGGAGAAATGAGAAGAGATAAATGTGTGGAATGTGAAGAAGCAGAGAAGGAAGACTGATCCTTCTGCTGCTCCTTGCAAGACATCCATGTGTTATTTTCTGTCCAAGTTCTACACCTGGAATCAGGAAAAGCCAATTCAAGAGTCTGACATCTAAGTTCGCCAGAGCTCTGGCATGTGGTCGTGAGGTCCTCATGAGGTAAAGAAGACTTCAGAATGAGACCCCTCTCTGACCCACTGCTATCAATCCCCTGTCACCTGAAGTTAGGTAGCAGAACTAGGTCAGCCTAGGGTGGCAGCGCTACTAGCTTGATAGGTGATTAGGACTGGGGCATGAGCTCACATACCTATCCCAGCACGACCATAGTTTCAGAGACCAAGAGGAAGCCTAGCATAATGTGGATAGCGAGCAGACCTCAAGATCACAAGTGGGTTCAAGTTCCAGTTCTGACTAAACGGGTATGTGACCCTTGGGCAAATGACTTAATCTCTCTCTGCTATAGCCCAGAGGTGTCAAAACAGGAAGCCCATAGCAGTGGAGTGTGCTGTAAGTTATCCAGATGGAAATATTCTGTAGCTAGCTGGAGAGGCAGGCTTGGAGCATAAAAGTGGCCAGAACCAGATTAAAATGTAAATGGGAAATATTCAACAAATAAAATTACAATAGAACATAGAAAATATTAATACGAGATTTTCTAAGCCAATATGTGGGCCTCAGGAATCCTTATGTAGTTTGGTAAAATCAAAGGTCCAGTTCATAATCTCTATCCCCTTCAGAGCTCAAGGCAAAACTATGCTTAAGCATCCTTAAGTTTGTAAGAGGAATGATCTTTACCCAAGATGTAGACAACCTCTTACCTACATGCCCCTTGGCTTCATGTGAGGCAATAATAAAAGTCATTTTCCTTTTTGATAAAATAATCTTTTTTTGGCTAAGTGGTATCTTTTTTTTGGAACATCTTCTTTCTTCCTGCCCTCCTTCTTCCACAGCCAGTGAAAACTTACAAGTATTAGTTGATTCCATGATGGCCCTCAAGACTAACAAGGTAACTGGCCTCTAGTCAGTATCTCTCCATCCCCTAGTCACCAGTCATCATCACTTAAGCCAGTAACAACTCAGTTCCATAGGCAATTGTTGAACAATCCATGTTTGCCACACTATCTGTTCTACCCCTTACCACAGAGCTGCCACAGAACAATAATGAAATTGCTTCAAAAAAGGGTGATATATCCATGTAGAGATTGATAAAATCTCAACGAATGTTCCTTGCTTCCTTTGTCTGGTCCCTACTATAGAGTCTTTTGTCTCTCTTCTGAATGGTGGTCTCTTTCTTTTCACTGCTAAACCTCTTAGAAAAAGTTGTCTGTGCTGTTACCTGTTTCCTTATCACCTACTCTTTCATCCTTATGCACTCTGCCTTTCTAAAGTGAAGGTGGTCTCTCAGAGGGTATCAGTTTTCTTCTAATTGCCAAATCTAATCCTTTGGCCTACCCTTCTTCCCTCCCCCCTCTCAGTTCTTATCCTCAGTGACCACTCCTCCTCTTTTGGCTTTAGAGATCATATTCCTGGTGTTCCTCCTACTGCTCTGACCACTCCTGTGTTTCTGCCAGCTGCTCCTTCTCTTCATGATCCCTGAGGGTCAGTGGTCCTCAAGGCTCTGTCTTTGGCCCTCCTCTTTCTATGCTCTCTTGGCAAATTAATTCCCTCTTACAGCTTTGACTGTCACATCTAAGCAGGTGACTCATATTTGTCTATATCTCTGGCTTTTATGCTCCAAGGCTACCTCTCCAGCTGACTGTATGGAATATTTTATCTGGATGACCTGCAGCACCTCAAACAATGCATCCCAAACCCAAGCTTAGCCTCTAAGCCTGCTGCTCTTTATTATCTCTGTCAGTGGCATCTAGTTTTCCATGTTTAAAATCTTATTTTTGACTCTTCGGTAGCTCACATTTCTCATAACCAGGCACCAAGTTCTGTTGATTCCACCTCAATCAGTAATCAAACAGTAAGCATCTACTATGTGCCAGGCACATAATGCTGGCTAAGCTGTGTATACAAAAAGAGGAAAAAGACAGCCCACCTGCTTTCAAGGAGCTTATAGTCACCTCTGCAAAATATTTCCCATTTATTCTCTGCCTGTCTTTTCCAGGCACTACCCTCGGACTAGCCCTTATTATCATCTTCTTGGAGGACCGACAGTCTCACAGGCCTTTCCACTTCCATTTTCTGTGCTCTCCAGTCTAATTTTCATACCTCAGCCAAAATAATCATTCTCTGAAGATCTTTTCACGTTGTCTGCTCAGAAATATTCAGTGACTCATTATTGCCTACTAAGTAAAGTTCACATCCCTTTGCCTGGCATACAGTGCCTTTCCCAATCTAGGATTACATTGCCTTCTTGGCTTTATTTTGCATTACTTTCCTCCATGCATTAAAAGCTTTGGCCAAACTGGACTATCCTTTTTCCTGGACAGGAAAGATGCCCTATACTTTCTCACCTCCACGTATTCATGCTGTCAAAGTTTGAGAACATATGCCTGGAATGTCCTCCCTATCCATTCTTAAAAAGTCAGTTCAAATGCCACCTTCCCCATAGAGCCTCTGATCTCTAGTCAGATCTACCTTCCCTCTCTGACCTCAGGCAACATTTTGGTTCGTGCCTCTTTTCGTTGTCACTGGTCTGAGAATTCTTCTCTGGGAGAGATTGGTAGGTACTGGGGGAAAATGGGCAATTTTCCCCATAAAGTTGGTAACAGTTTGGTGGGTTTTACTTTAACTCCACTCAAACCATGTTCATGAGCAGTAGGGAGCTTCTTAGGGATGAGGGCAGCTAGGTGGCACAGTGGGTAGAGTACCAGGCCTGAAATCAGGAAGACTCATGTTCCTGAGTTCAAATCTGGCCTCGCATACTACCTGCATGACCCTGGGCAACTCACTTAACCCTGTTTGCCTCAGTTTCCTCATCTGTAAAATGAGCTGGAGAAGGAAATGGCAAACTGCTCCAGTTTCTTTGCCAAGAAAACCCCAAAAGGGGTTATGAAGAGTTGGACATAACGGAAACAACTGAACTGATTGAATTTTAGGGATGTGAAACTGAGACTCCAGTGAACAGATACGAGGTAAAAAACACTGTCCTGGCCTCTCCTGCCCTTGAGATCAGTGGACCTGTTAGGTTCCCCTCTGCCTGTTGGTGTTGGAACTCCTTCACAGAACCAGAAAAAGAGGAGAATTCATTGGATATCTGCTCTTCTGGGAGGTAATTTTGGGCCACATAGATTTTTTAAAAAATTAATTTATTTTGATTTATCAACAATCACTTCTATATGCTTTTGAGTTTAAAATTTTTCTTCCCCTTTCTCCCCACCACCTTCCCCAGGACAGTGCCCAATCTGATATAGGCTATATATATACATTCTTATTAAACTAGTATTTTCAGATTAGTGATGTTGTAAATAAAAATTAGAACCAATAGGAGGAACCACCAGAAAGAGGAAACAAAACTCAACAGAAGAGAAAAAAATAGCAAATAGTATGCTTTGATCTGCATTTAGATTCCATAGTTCTTTCTTTGGATGGGCCAAATAGATTTTAAGAATGGACTCTGAAACCATGCCATTCAGTTCCTGCTAAAATTTTAGATTGGATGATTATAAAGGGGTGTTTTATGAACACTTAAAAAGGGAGAAGATGATCCCCAGTACCTGCCATAGGTCAAGAACAATTTTATTTATTCCAGAATAACCTAATCTCCCCCTCCCTTTTTTTTTTTTAGTTATTAGACTAATAGATGAGGAGAATATCATAGACATAGTAGGAAAGTGGCAAGATACAGAAGTTGCTTTTATCACTGAGGTCTCTAGTTCTGCTCATGGACATAGAATATATCTGAATTTGATCAAGGCATTCAACAAAAATCTCATATCCTAGTGGACAAGATGGAGATATTTGGAATAAATAATAGTACAATTAGGTGTGGTCCACTAGATGTAAAGAGTGTTGGTTAATGAATTGATGCCGACCTAGAGGTAGGTCTCTAGTGAAGTATCATGAAACTATTTTTGTTTCTGTTGTGCTCAACATTCTTCAGTGACTTATATGGAGGCATAGATAGAGCATGCTTACAAAATTTTGGATGACCCAAAGATAGGCACGCTAGTTGGCGGAATCAGGATATAGGAACGTCTCAGGAGACTGGAAGAATGGGGCAAATCTAGGAAGATAATAAATGCACAATTTTAGATTCAAAATGTATGTTAAAACACTTAAATACCAAAAAGTAGACATGGCTAGATGACAGTAGAAAAGCCTTGGAATCTTGGTGGACTTTAAGTTGATAATGAGTCACTGGGATGTGGCAGCCAAAAGAATAATTCATTCTTAGATTGTGTTAATAGAAATGCAGAGTTCAAAATATGGGAAGTGATAGTTCCATTGAATTCTGCCCTAAACTGAAGCTGGAACACTTTAGATGCCAATTTTAGAAAGGACAAGGACAAGATGCAGTCTGTAAGTGATCAGGATACTGAAGTGACTGAAATCTTGCTATCTTGGGATCAGCTAAAGGGGCTTTTATCTTGAAGAGAAGACTAAGAGGTGATAGATGTCAGGTATTTGAAAGATACAGAAAATGAATTAAATTTGTCCTATTTAACTCTAGAAAGCAAATAGTTCCAACCAATAGTTGAAAGCTACAGGAAAGCAAATTTCAGCTTAACATAGAGATAAGCTTCCTAACAAATTTAAGTGAAGTAGTGAGTTCTTTGTTATTAAGGATCTTTAAGCAGAAGCTTAATATTCACTTGTACAGGATGTGGTAGAAAAGATTTTTTTTGGGGGGGGGTTGGTGGTTATGCTAAAATGAACTCTGCATTCCCTTTCAACTGCAGTTCTATAATTGAACGATTCTGTACTTTTTACCTGTTGAATAGCAGCCAGAGCCAAAATCCACTTAGTAGCCATAAGTGGTTCTTGGGGTGGATTGTTCATGGTAGGGAAAAATCTATTCACTTTTCATTCCAGACCTCAATTCCAAAGGCAGAGATTGGACCTCAAATTTCCAATTTGCATCTCAGACCCTGAATTCTCTCACTGTGCTGAGCAAGTCTCTTTCAGTCTGGCTCTTCCTGCCTTTCCTAGATGCTTTGATAGCCAGGCCAGCCTCAGTCCTTTAGGCAGGGAGACTCTCTGCCTTACAACCAAGGGGATCTTTTCCCTCTGTGATTCTGACCCAGTTCTTCCTCAAAGGCTTAGCTCCCTGTGCAGACTAACTGAGCTGAAGAGCTATGAGGCCAAAAAACTAAAAAAAAAAATCTGAAGCTTATGGGCCTCTCTGACTCATAAAGATTATTTGTGGGGGGCTGTCTTTACTGTGGACACTGGACATGCAGACTCCTTCTTCCTGCCTAACACCCTCACCCTGCTATTTTCTGAAAACGTCATTCACCATTCTTATACTCCCTATTTGATTCACTGACCAATACCTACACCATCTCCCTGCTTGTGATATCAGAGATAGGAAATCAACCAGATGTTCCTGATGGAGAAGGTTCTGTATGAAACCCCAAACCTTTGACTGCCTCAGTGAGCTGCCCTGGTGTGAAGGTGAATATAATCCAGGCATCCTCTAGTGACAGCTGCATGAATAAGGAGTGACAGCTTGATGAAGCTGGGGCTACCAAGGTGTGTACTGAGAATAACCTCTCTGAAGGACCAGCGCTGACCCCTTTACTACTTCTCTCATAGCCTAAGAACCATTTCACCAGATGTTTTGGCAACGGAGGCCCAGTTATGTCCACTATCGCCAATCTATCCCCCACCTTCTGGGGCCCCGTTGAATCTAGATCTAATTGCATCCATTTACTCTAATAAATGAGACCTAATTTACCCCAAATCTTTATCTTTAGCTCAAACCCTTCTTCCCCCACTGCATGTACCCCAAGATATTTGTTTTAGGACTTGGGCTTCTCCTTGTGTGAGTTAAAATGCATGATTAATAAAAGAACTATTTTATACATTACTGGTGTCTTTTTTTTTTTTTGTGAAATCGCCAAGTCCTATAACTGCTGATAAGAACAAGTATAGCAGTCCAAGCCATTGCGGTACTAAGGCACTTGTCTTGTGGCCTACCCAGTGCCTTCACCTTAACTTGAGAAGGACAATAGTGGAGCTCAGACCATGAGTAATGACACCAGAGTTCCTAACTGCAACCTCACTTCCATGCCACTCAAGGACACATGAAAACATTTTGAATATTCCATGTGTACTGTCCACACAGGGGCACTTAATAAGTAAAAGGGCCAAGAATGATTAGGACATTAAAAAACCCTCAGAGGTACTCCTCAAGGCTTCAGGGACACCTTTAGGATGGGAAATCATTACATTGATGTCAGGAACGGAACTTCCCTTGGCCAGAGATTCTGTAGACTTTGGCCGCCATGGTCACCAACCTCATATAATATATATGCTCAGATAGGGAAGGATTCAAGTCCTTTGCAAAGAGAATTGGGCTCTTTATAAAAGAAGATGAACGTCTGTTTCCATAATGCCATGGGCCTGAAACACAGATGTAGTGGAGAGTGATATGGCACTCTCAGGGAAGAAGAAGATATACAAGACTTACCAAGGGGTTGTGGGGGCTATTAGCACTCTTGAGCTGGCTAGGCAGAAGGAGTTCCTGAGTAAGCCAGAAACTGTAGGAATCCCAACAATCTTGTCTTGTATTAAATTAGCTCCATCTTCAAATGCTTGAAGGGAAACTGAATTAATACCTAGGAAGAGCAGGTAGGGGAAAAAAAATTCAGATATTCCCAGGAACTGAATACAGCCTTACAGATAATTATTTTCAGGGAAACCCAGTCAAGACTGAACCAGGAAGATGGAGTTTTGCTACCTGGGTTATGCCTAAAAACAGAAATAAGTTATTTTTCTCAATAAGCCACCAAACGAAGGGCTCACTGACCTGGTTCCTTCCAAGCTGCCTCTAAAGATGCCCAAGACCAACCTTTAAAAAACAAAACAAAACAACCACCACCAAGCACAAAAAACTTCTTACTAGATCCTGACAGCTCCAGCTATTGTGTTGTGTCTCAAATCCCTCTCTCATCCAAACTCCATGGTGCCTTTGCTTCCTCTCACTCTCTTCTAAACCCCCTACATTCTGGTTGCTTACCTCTCCATGCAATAGAAACTTCTTCATTGCACGTTATCAGTGGACTCTTAATTGCCCCATCTAATGGCCTCCACTCAACTTCCCTGCAGCATTGAGCACTATTGACATCTCTGTACTCTCTCTGGGTTTGGGTGACACTGTTCTCTCCTGGTTCTCCTCCTACTTCTCTGACTGCTCCTCATTCTCTTCTGCTGGATCTTCAGCATATCATGCTGCCTAACTGTGTGTACCTCTGTCCCGAGCCCTCTTCTCTTTTCTCTAAATCAGGGATTCTTCAGCTTTTTTGTTATGGTCCCCTTTGGTAGATCGATGAAACCTATGGACTCCTTAGAATAAGGTTTTTAAATACATAAAATACATGATTACAAAGGAAACCAATTATGTTGAAATACAATTATCAAAATATTTTAGAAAAACAAGTTTTCAGACCCCAGATTAAGAACCTCTATTCTAACATTTTTACTTTATGACCACATCAGTTTCCATGGATTTTATTCTCATCTCTATGAAAATGACAATCAGACCTAGCATGTGCTGGTAAATGTTTAACAACCAGCTATATGGGGGAGAAAATGTACCCATGACACACTTTTATGTTTACTCTGCATCACTAACATTTTCTCCATTACTTTCTTAAGTCTAGGCAATCAACAAAATAATAAATCAAACCCTGATTTGTAGTGTTTGTCAATTTCCAAGGTAGAAATATGTTGACATTTTAATAATCGGCAAGTTCAAGCTAGCTCCAGCATACTCCTGCCCAGATCTAAATGTCTAACACTAGTCTCTGTCTCTTTTTTTTTTTTCCGCTAAGCAATAGGGTTGTAAGTGACTTGCCAGGGTCACACAGCTAGTAAGTGTCCAGTGTCTGAGTCCGGATTTGAATTTAGGACCTCCTGAATCCAGGGCCAGTGCTCTATCCACTGCACCACCTAGCTGCCCTTAACTCTAGTCTTTCTACAGAGCTTCAATCCTGCATCACCAACTGCCTTCAGAACGTTTAGAACTGGCTGCCCCATAGGCATCTCAAACTCAGCACGTCCAAAACAGAACTTGCAGCTGTCTGCTGAGTGCTAAGGCTGACACTGGGAACACCAGAGTTCAAATCCAGCCTCAGACAAGTCATTTAACCTGTATCTCAATTTTCTCATCTGTAAAATGGAGATGATAATAGCACCTACCTCCCAGGGTTGTTGTGAAGATTAAATGAGATAATAATTGTAAAGCTCTTTGCATAGTGCCTAGTACATAGTAAGTGCTCTATACATGCTAGCTACCATTATTATTGTCAGTTATTCACCCCAAACAGAGCCCTTTTTGGAGATTCTCTATTTCTGTTGAGGCACTATTGCCTTTCCAGTCATCCAGGTTCACAACATCAGTGTCTTTTCTCAACTCTTCGCTCTCATCCCATATATCTAATGGATGCCAAATCTTATCCTTTCTAACTCTGTAACACGCCTCACATATATCCTCTTCTTGCTACTCATACAGCCAACACTCTGGTATAGAGGTGTCAGACATGCAGCCCCAACCCTACTAAGTATGTCCTGAACCACATTAAAATTTGATTGGAAAATATTTAACAAAATAAATAAAAATACAACAAAACAGGTAATAGGTTTTTCTGAGTCGACACACAACCCACAGAGATCCTTATGCATGGGTTAGTGGCCCCCATTTTTTTTGTTTGGCAGCACTGCCCGAGTATATGCCCTCTTTATCACCTCTAGTTTCCAAAATTGGTGTCCCAGCTTTCGGTCTCTGCCCTCTCCATTCCCGTCTCCATGTAGTCATGTGATTTTCCTAGTACACATATCTATTTCAGGTCTCCCCTCCCCTCCACTCCTGTCCCATTTAACCTCAAGTTTCTGTAAGCCCTCTGTTTAGCCTTCATGACAAGGCCCCCAGCCTACCTTTCCAGTCTTATTATAGATTACTGCCCCCTCCACACCTTTCTTTGTAATTCACTATTGGTCATTTATTTGGAATACAATAACTCATACTAACACAGAAAACAGTGAGATTTTTTGAAGGCTTTTTTTTTAGCAGAGCATAGAGTCTATCAGTTTCCACCAACAAAGGCCTAGAGATTTGTTGTACTGACCTCTGATTTCTTTTTTTAAATTAATTTCTTTTGATTGATTAACAATCACTTCCATAAGCTTTTGAGTTTTAAATTTTTCTCCCCCTCCCTCACCAAGACAGCGTGCAATCTGATATAGGCTATACATATACATTCCTATTAAACATATTTTCACATTAGTCATGTTGTAAGGAAGAATTACAACCAAAAGGAGGAACCACCGGAAAGAGGAAACAAAACAAAACAGAAGGAAAAAATAGCAAATAGTATGCTTCTATCTGCATTCAAACTCCATAGGTCTTTCTTTGGATGTGGATAGCATTTTCCATCATGAAGCCTCTGGAGATGTCTTAGATCCTTGCATTGCTGCAAAGGGCTAAGTCTATCAAAGTTAGTCATCACACAAGGTGACTATTACTGTGTACACCGTTCTCCTGGTTCTGCTCACTTCACTCAGAATCAATCCATACAAGTCTTTCCAGGTTTTTCTGATGTCTGCCTGCTCATCATTTCTTATAGCACAGTAGTATTCCATTACATTCATATACCACAACTTGCTCAACCATTCCTCAATTGATGGGCATCCCCTCAATTTCCAATTCTTTGCCACCACAAAAAGAGCTGCTATAAATATTTTTGTACATGTGGGTCCTTTTCCCATTTTTATGATCTCTTTGGGATACAGACCTAGAAGGAGTAGAACTGAGCATAGTTCCAAATTGCTCTCCAGAATGGTTGGATCACTTCACAACTCCACCAACAATGCACTAGTGTTCTAATTTTCCCACATCTTCTCCAACATTTATCATTTTCCTGTTTTGTCATGTTGGCCAATCTGATAGCAGTGATGTGGTACCTCAGCGTTGTTTTGATTTGCATTTCTCTAATCAATAGTGATTTAGAGCATTTTTCCGTATGACTACAGATGGCTTTAATTTCTTCATCTGAGAACTACCCGTTCATATCCTTTGACCATTTATCAGTTGGGGCCTTCATGCACTCTTAAGGTCCAGTTATGCTGTCCCATTTGCTGTTCCTCACATAGCACTCCATCTCTCATTTCGTGCCTTTGCCATGGCTCTCCCCGCCATGCTTGGAATACATTCCCTCTTCACCTCTGCCTTTTGGAATTTGGTTTCTGCCAAGCATAATTTTCAGCAGGAGACCTTTCCTGGTCCTCCTAGCTGCTAATGTGTTCCTCTACACCCACACACCCCCAAAGTTACCTTGTGTTTGCTTTGTCTTTTGCATGTCTTTCTATATATTTATGTTTTCTTCCGTGTTGGAACGTAAACGCCTTGATGATAGGTACCTAATAAATGTTTGTTGATTGACCTCTGGGTAGTCATCTCTTCTCATTCAGAACTTTAAACCCCTATGTGTTCACAGCTCATCACAAAGCCCTGACCTTGGCTGTCCCTTTGTCTCACCTTAAGCCTCATCATTCATCTCATCTGTGTCTGGTTCTTACCTCCACACTCCTGCATTACCTTCTGGATCCACTCCCAACTTATTTGACTCCTTTCTCTATATGTCCCAGCAGCTTTCTCATCCTGGAAGATCCCTTCCCCTCGACATTCTATCTCATGCTGGAAAATCCTTCTATCCCCTTAGCCCCTTCTTCTGATTGGCCATTTCCTTCCAGAACCTCCATTTTCAGGAAAGTGTCCAGGCCTGTCTGTTCCTGTCTGAGATCCATGCCTGACTCTTGACTTTCTTTATGAAACTCAGGTAACTTCTCTTCCCCACCCCCACCCCCACCTCAGTTTTCAGCTTTTTATGTATTGTTTTCTCGGTTAGAATGTAAGAGAGTGGGATAGGGATTGATTTAGGAATAATCCAGTGGGTGGAATAAAGAAGAGAACATTGAACTGAAGAGGGAAGTGAGAAGGGAGTGAATCGTAAAGTCTCCCCGTTCAGAGGTTTCGGTGGTGTCTGACTCTTGGTGACCCCATTTTGGGTTTTCTTGGCAAAGATACTGGAGCGGTTTACATTTCCTTTTCCAGGAACTCCAGAGTACAGAGCTGTAGTTAGTGAGATGTAACTGGGTTGACTTAGACTTTGTCACATTAAATGTGTATATTTCTTTTTTGTGGTTGTCCTCTGGCCTACTCTCTTTCTGTGCCTTTTGGTCTCCACACTTTCCTGCTCTGCACCGCAAGGCTGTTTCCAACTCCTTGCCCAGGGCAAGGCACCATCCCCAGGGACATAGGTTTAAAAATCACAGACCCCACATCCAGATCTAGAGTCTAACCCCCTCATTTTATAGTTGTGGGAACTGAGACTTGGGGAAGTTAGGTGGCTTGCCCAAATTCATAAGGGGAGTTAGCATTAGAGGCAGGTTTAGAACCCAGGGCCTCTGACTCCAAAGTCAAGTCTCTTGCCCCTGTCACTGCTGCCCTGTCACAGTGGGGTCCCTCTCATGGGACCTGCCTTCACCTACCACCATTCCCATCTGGCTTCACACTGGGAATCAGGGGTCAGGCTTTGTGGGTATCTGGTGGGACTATATC